CGGACCACGCCCAGGAAATGCCTTTGGGGGAGTTTGGGTCTGAGCTGCTCTTTTCTGTTCAGGTCAGCCCCGCCTAGCACCAGGCCCCTCCCACCTCTGCTCACAAGGGAGAGATGAGGCGTGGTCCAGAGCTTCCTGCCGCCCCTTCCTGCAGAAACCGCCCGAGCCTGCAGGCAACTCCAACAAACCAGCAGCTCCCAGCGGCCTGGGAGCGGCTCCTCCGTGCACCCCACGACATTCTTTGCTACATCACCTCATCATTAAATCCAGTAATGGAATCAGTTCCTGCCTGAGCAGCGTCTCCTTGTGGGGCTGATCTCAGTGAAGCACACCGATGATAAAAACAGCAGAGCCCAACCCCCTAGTACAGAGGTGGCGAACCTATGGCATGCGTGCTGCAGTGGGCTGTTAGTTATCCCCGAGCGGTCTAAAAGGTTCGCCACCCCCGCTGTAGTGTTTGGGCTCCCCGCAGTCTTTAAAGCATTGCCCATTTCCTAAGCTAGGTCTTGAGAGTGGCACAAGTGAAAAAAGGGACAGAAGATGAGGGTTCACAAGGGTCGCTGGTGTGGTTACCTCTCTAGCTGTGCTTTCTTGCACTTTTTTCAGTACTGAGGCTTTGAGCCTGGAGCTTTTGCATATGAGGCAAGTGCTCTGCCCTGAGCTACCCTCCTCGTCCTGAATTGCTTACCCCTGCAAGAAAACTGAAAGAAATAAAAGGTGCACGTAAAAAAAATCTTGAGACCATAAGAACACACTGTACTGTGAAAAATGAATCCAGCTCCCCCTTTGTGCCCATATGAGAGGCCAGTGAGCCCCATGTCACTGAGATGTGTCCTACGCACGTGCACCTATGTTTTCTCAACAGAAGAGAAGAGTTAAACTATGTACTAACTAGTTATGTAATTTATCTATAAATTACCTCAGAATGTAGAGGCTTAACTCATATTAAACATTTACGAGCATGGCTTGTGTGGTCACGGACTCAGGAGCAGGTTAGCAGCTCTCCTGAGGTGACGGAGGCCCCAGGGCCAAGGTGGCCCAAACATGGGCTGCCGAGTGCTGGGGATTGGCAGTGGGCCTCAGTTTCTCTGCCTGGGGGCCTCTCAGAGGGCTGCTCAGAAGTGAAGGCTGGCTTCTGCCAGGACAAGGGACCTGGGTAAATGGGCAAGCTATGTGCCTGGTGTTGAGGTCACACATTGACTGACCTCCACCATGCTCCATTGGTCATGTAGACCAGCCCCGCCCCTGCTTTAGTTTGGGAGTGGGCCACACAAGGGCACAGATAGCCAGAAGAGAGGCTCACTGGAGCCATGTTCGAGGCCAGCTACACACTGTATCTATGAACACATCTTGGGCATTATTACTGTATCAGCATTTACTGATTAATCTCCTGTGGTTGGTTGATTGATTGATTGTACTGGGGGTTGAACCCAGGGCCTTCACAATGGCTACATCTCCAGCCATTTTTTTTTTTTTTTGGGAAAAGATTCTTGCTAAGTCACTAAATTGCCCAGAGTGGGCTCAAACTTGCAATCTTTCTGCCTCAGCCTTCCAGAATAATGGGATTACACCATGCTTGCCAAACCTTATTATTTAAAATAGCTATATCCATTTGTCTTACTTATTTCCTCATTATTGGGACACAATACCCCACAACCACAAGTTAAAGAGGAAAGATATATTTTAGCTCACAGTTTGTAGAGTTTTCAGGCCATGGTTGGCTGGCTCCAAGGCAGGGTGGCATGGCAGAGGGTCATGGCCGAGGAGAAACACTCCATGGCAGGGCAGGCAAAAGGCAGCCAGCAGCAAGCTTCCCTTTCCTTTTTTATTCCATCCAGCCTACAAGCCTATTGGTTGGTATCACCCACGACTGAGGTGGTCTTTCTCATTACCCACATCCAGAACTAGTTAATTCAACCAGTGGACTAATTTGGTTATCACACTTCCATAATCCAGTGTCACACATCCATGATTCAGCCACCTCCCAAAAGCCCCACCTACAAGTGCATAAGGCTTTGGGGGGACATCTAGAGATAAACCATAACACCATTGTATGCATGTGCTATATTTCATGGAGTCTGGTTTATCCTATACAAACAATAATTGACTGAATATTGTTCATTCCAGCATGTCCTATGTGCCAAGTCATGTTCTAGACACGGAGGGATATTGTGGAGAAAGAAACAGACTGAAACCTGATCTCATGGAGTTTAATTTCTGATTTCAGAAAGATAGAAAGCCAGAAAAATATCCAATAGCTTTTGCAGAGTGTTCTGTGCTGGGGGATAAGGGTGCGTTTCCAAGGAGGCCTGACTTAAATTGCAATGCAGAGGAAAGAAAGTCGCTATGGAGGGTCCTAAGCCAGGCTTCCCTGGAGTAAGCAAAGGAGAGTATGGGTAAGGAGGTTAGAGACACAGGCAGGTGCCAGGTGACTGAGGGGGTTTGTAAGGGAGTAAGGAGCTTGAACTTCATGGTAGGTAAAGAGCTATGCAGTTGTACTGTTTGCCATCCAAAAGCCACTGGCAGTGGGCACCTGTAATCCCAACACTCTGGGGGGGGGCAGGGCTGAGGCAGGAGGATCGCTATGAGTTTAAGGCCAGTCTGAGCTACATAGCGAGTTCAAGGCCAGCCTGAATTGCAAGCGAGACCCTGTCTCAAAAAAAGAAAAAGCTCTCCAAAAGAAAGCCATATGCAATGCAGATTACCAAGAGCAAGAGAGAGCAAGGAGGGCCAGTCAGAGTAACCCAATGAGGGATGATGTTGCTTGAATTCAGGCAATGGCAGGTGGAGTGCAGGCAACTCGCTTAGGCTCTGTTTGGACTTACATCAACTGACTGGAAGGAGCGAGATCAGAGGTGTCATGGAGACCCGGTGTTGAACCTTGGTTTCCACTTGATGGCTGGTGGTGAGAAGATGAACAATGAGCAGGTTTGGCGGTTGGAGACGGAGAGCTGTTTGTACCAGGGCATCTGGAGCTTAGTTTTCTGTTACTATAGCAACATACTTGCCGCTGGGTACTTCATACAGAGTTTTCTTTAGCCCACAGTTTTGCAGGCCAGCAGTCCTAGGTCAGGAAGTCCCTTTAATAGTCTGTGGTGACGCCCACACTAGACAGTGTCCGAGTGACAGAAGCACTTGCACAGGGAGACGCACAGCAGAGTCCAGGCAGGCGCCTTGCCCTGTGCTAAGTTGCCCTCATGGGCTCTGAGCCTGGTCTCCGGAGCACTGCACTAATCCTCTCCATGGACAGCACCAGGACCTCATCCTGTCCACGGAGCCCCACCTCTTAAAGGTGCCGCACCCCAACACTGCCATGCTGAGAGCCCTGCTGCCAGCACTCCAACCTTCAGGAGACACGGTGAGCCCTGCCCAGCTGCAGCGCTGAGTCGGAGGTGCCCACTGGACATCAACTAGGACCGCCGAGGACGCGTTTGGATTATAGTCCGAATGAATTTTTCCACAGTATTCAGGGATGGAGGTGGAGAGTTGCCCCATCGCTGACACTGAAAACACAGCTCAGCGAAAATTACTGCAGGAGAGAATACAGATGAAGAGGAGGGGCTTAAGACAGGGCTCCTTAGCCCATTAGCACTTATATTTTGTTTTGTTTTATTCTGTGGTACCGAAGATTAAATCCAGGGCCTTGGCACTGAGCCACCTTCCCAGCCCTGCTTATTTATTTATTTTTAAAATTTTGAGACAGAGTCTCGGTAAGTCACTAAATTGCCCAGGCAGGGCTCAAACTTGCAATCTTTCTGCTTCAGCCTCCGAGAGTGCTGAGGTTACAGATATGTGCCGCTGTGCCTGGTTAGTAATTAAATAGCTTGAGCAGAGATAAAGAGGCTGAGGAGCATGGGCACTGTGCCCAGAAGGAAGCCCAGAGAATGTGCTGCCCTTAAGTCCAGGGCAGGACAGTGTGGTCAGTCGTGTTGGGTATCACTGAGGCCGTATGCGATACAAACCAAGACACAGCCATGGAGTCTTACAACCCCGAGGGTGGGGCCCCACAGGACACCTCCGTTCTCGAGGGGGCAGTAGTGATGGAGCCAGAGAGGTGCGTGTTCAAGAGAGAACAGAAGGGAGGGAAGCACACACCGTGCTGATCCTGCACTCTTAACTGTGCAAGGGAGCAGAGGCGTGTAGGGCAGGTCAGGGCATGGCAGGGCAGGGCATGGCAGGGCGGGTGAGGGAGTGGCTCTAGCATTTAACAGCTGCCACTGCGCTCAGGAGAGTGCACGGTCCAAGTGGCTCTGCTGCTCTGTTCTTCCTCCTCCTCCTCTTCCTGTTCTTCTTCCACTTCTTTCTTAAGGTAGGTCTCACTATGTAGCCCAGACTGGCCTCGAACTTGAGGTAATCCTCCTGCCTCAGCCTCCCAAGTGCTGGGATTACAGGAGAGCCCAACCACACCAGCTTTTGATGCTCTGCTCCTAAAGAAAGTGTCTTGTTATGTAGTCCAGGCTGTCCTCAAACTCATGTTCCTTCTGTCTCATGTGCTGGAATCACAGGCCTAGGCCAATGCCAGGTGGAGGTGCTGTATTGCTAGAAGGGATTTCTGGGTCAAAGCATCTGTGTGGCTTTGATCCTAGTAAGCTGCTGTCCTGAGCTACTGAATTTACACACCCATCAGCAATGTGTCTTTGCAGCCACACTCCTCTTTAAGCCCAAGTTCTCTGTTTTAAATATTTGCCAGTGCGCTTACACTTTGGGTGTGGTGACCACTCAGGACTCCAGGCGTTGGCCGAAGTGAAGCTCTGCTCTTCTTCCTCATTTATTTTGTGTTTTAGGCACACGTTGCCCCTTTACTCATCACCACACAGGCAACGACGTTGGAAAGTTGCTGGTCAGGAAGTTTGCCCCATTTCTCTCTGTGTTATCTCTGAGAGGAAACCTAATTTCTTCCTCTGGCTGTGCTACAAAAAACACTTTTCCATTTGGAACCCCCCACCCCCAGGGTCTTGCTATGAAGTCCAGGCTGGCCTCAAATGTGTGGCTGCTCCTGCCTCAGCCTCCTGAGTGGGCGATTACATCTGGCTCTTCTATGATCCCCCTGTGGAGGATACAAGGGAGGGCATGGTGGGCACTGAGGCTTGGGCTGTCCACCCTGGGCCCTGGCCAGCTCACTTCTGGTCCTGGGATTAAGCCTCAACCTGTGGCCTGAGCTCCTCCCCTTGCTTCCCCGGAGAGTCTGGGGTGAAGGATTTAAATCCTGAGAAGGAACCGGCCCAGCCTAGTGCTCCAGGCTTTTCCAGGGCCTCATTTTTTCTGGGACAGCAGGATGGAGCTTTGCTGGGGATGCAACTGAGTTGTTGGGATTTATGGTGTAAAAATGGCCCAGCAGGGCAGGAAGTGACGTGTTTATTCCAATGACAGTTTCTGTTCATTTTTCTTATTGTTTTCTTTTTTAACTTTTAAAAACTTTTATTGTGGAGAGTTTCATACCCACACACCCGAGACCAATAACCATTAGCTCTATCACTTCTTCCCGCCCATCTGAAGCAGTTCTGAGTCAGATGATTTCACTCGGAATGTCTCAGTGTCTATAAAGCAAAGGAATTTAAAAATCATATCTTAAAAATTCCCAATATCAATACCCCAGCAGTGCTCACATTTCTACCCCTCTCAAATGTCAGAAGTAGGTTTTCTTCTTTGTTCTGTTTTAGTTTTTTTTTTTTTTTTTTTGTAATGAGCTGCATACCCTCAGCCCTGCGTATTTATTGACAAGTGTGGAATGTATGTACATAATCCATACAATTTGTGCATGTTATATTCTGATACATGCATATATTGTGGAATGGTTGCATCAAGTTATTTAATTTATGCATTACCTCGAAGGGTTAAGGGCAGGAGGAAAAGAAAACTAAATCACAATACACTTTTTTTTTTTGGTCTTTTTGAAACAAGGTCTCACTATGCAGTTTAGGCTGGCTTTAAACTCTCAAGGATCCTCCTGCCTCAGCCTCCCAAGTGCTGGGATTGCAGGCATGTGCCACCACGCCTGGCCCATTCTTGTTTTTGATAATCAAACCTAGGACCTTCTAAGGAACTTTCTGATGCAAGAGTTTTAAGAATGTTAAAAAACTTATATCAAAACGTAATTCCATGAGCTCCAAGGAATTTCTTCCTTATTTAGTTTTCTCTGACATGTTCCTTCTCCAAATTTTAAAACAACTTCTTAGAAGTTTTTATCCAACCAGAATTTGAAACAGTAAAGCCTGTATTTGCTAAGAGACAGCTGCTGGAGCTGGCTTCCATTTGTCAGTATCTTTAGGGAGAAGAGGTGGAGCCTCGCTCGTGGCCATCAGAAAGGAGGGTCTTCCTTCCTTCGTCTCCTGTTGCCCACTCTCTCTGATCCAGTCACAACACAGTTGTGCAGGGAACATCAGGTCAGGGATGACGAGAAAGGCATGACACAGCTGAGGTCCTGTGTGTCGGTCACCCAAGGACAATGACAGGCAGGGTGCAGACGCAGCATTACCAAGTCTCAAGCACGAAGTCTTCAGAATTAGCCCATGAGCTGCTGTTTCCCAGCTGTAGAACTTGGTTGGTAAATGAGTAAGGAGAGTTTTTCGATTCCTGTCCCTTTAGAGGGGGGATGCGTAAGAAGCACTGGTCAGACTGTGGCCTCCAGAGAAATGTCTCAACTTGACTGAAAAAACCGAAAGGTTGTTAAATTATGTCAGATAGTTTGCTTTGGCTGGAGGAATGCAAATGTTAACGCACATGACATCCATTAATTAGGCATGAAATCAAGACAAGAGGAAGATATCTTTACCGTGTGAACTTTGCAATCCTATCTTAAGAAAATTAGGATTTTTTCCTCCAGTACTGGCAACTGAACACAGGCCCTTGTGCCTGCCAGACACACACTCTGAGCTGCACATTTTATTTTGAGACAAGGTCTAACCAAGTTGTCCAGGCCTTGGATTTGCAAGGGGTAACTGGGAAGTAACTTCCGGGAAGCTTAGGGTTTTTGAGGCGCTTTTACCACAACTGATCTGTGTGCGGGTTGGGGATAGGAGTCGCCACACTGAACAGGAAAGAATGCTATTCTGTAACCCATGTCTTTCAAAGACAAAAGTATGAGTGCCCACGCCCACCCACCCCCTGGCCCTAAAAGCAAGTAAGGCGGGATCTTTACACGCTGGTCCGAAACCAGCTCTCTTGAACTGAAAATTCTCTAGAAAAACACAGCCATAATTAGCCTGTATGGTTTTAGCAAATGGGTTTGTAACCTAACCTAAAAGTGGCAAATCCAGTCTTTCAAGGCCGGTTCCTGGGAGAAAGCCACCGGTCTCCCGGCTGAGCGGGGCTCCCCAGGCTCAGCTGCCTAGCTCGGTTGGCCTTGACAGGGGTGAATTATAGAGTGCTGGGATCTGACCTCACTGCCGAGGAGAAGAGGAATTCTGGGAGGTGCACAGCACTCTTGAGAAGGCTGTAAAAATCCAGGCTGAGGCGAGTCTCCCAGGAGAGAGACTCCCAGGCTCCCAGAGAGCCTGGCTGGAGGGAACCACTCCTGTGACGGCCACCGGCCTCTGCAGCTTTCAGCTCACACCGCTGAGCTTTTCAGCCACCACCACTGTCTCCAGTGTAGGTGAGAGATCTGCACCACAAACTCTACCCTCTTGTGTGGCAGAAAACAGGAAAAAATACGCGACTGCCATAAATCCAGTTTCAGACAGAACACTTCTTTGTGCCATTTATTGAAAAGCACTCTCCTGAAAAAGGGGACAAGGAGAGATGCTGAAACTATGGGCACAGGGTGGGAGAGCAAACAGACCAATGCTACGTTCACTGAGCCAATCAACACCCAGGTTACAGAGCACAGTGCTGTGGTTGGTCGCCTTCCATGCCATCAGCCAATAGTGTACAATTTCAGGTTGGCAAACTTGTGCAAGCGGTAGTGGTGTACTGCATTTCCACTGTATATAGTACAGTATTCATCCACTGATGAAATACATACTGTATTTTATTTTGATTTAATATTCTTTTAATATGTTTGAATTAACATTTTTAATATTTTTATATTGTTTTAAACTTTTTAGTCAAAAATCGTTAAAATCATAAATATTATATAAATACCTAAATACTGCAAAATCACACAATATAGCAAAAACTCTGCGATACAGAATTAGATATTTTTTTTAAAAAAAGGTGATACAGTAAAGCCACAATAAATGAACCCCAATATAGTGAGGCATGACTGTAATTATAACTAAAACTGGAGAGACTTATGATAAAATGTCAGACTCTATCAGTAAAGGGGTCTAAGAGCTGGTGGGTTACAACTGCTATTTCCAGTCCCTTAAAAACAGTTTATAAACTTACCTGCCA